GGGGGAGGGGAGGGGAGCAGGGAGTACCAATGCTTTACTTCGAAACAGACGTCAAGCATCAAGAAAGGAACTGTTGACATGGCGTACCCCGTAAGTTTCATTTAAGTCGCATTTAACCTATGTTGGCCAATGTCAAACAGTTCACTATCTTAATCTTGCTTTGCGCACATGTTTGTCAGCAGGATCTCACACAAGAGATCTCAGTACAACTCGGGAAGTGACGCATTTTCCCAAATGACGTCATTACCTGTGGAGCGAGTAGAACAAATAGTAGAGAGGCATTACGATATTTATTAATTGAAGAGGAGTGTCTTTCGAAATTTTCCTGTATTCATTTGACACTAAAAACACAAAGTTAAAAATAAATCTATTAAGCTACTGATATACGATACTGTATTGCACATTATACTTGGAAAATCCGGAAATACTCTTCATTGACTACATCCTATGAAAAAATCATCAGCTAAAAAAGAAAAGAAAGTGAAAGAAATCGAGAAACGCAGTTTGAAGTAAAGGGCGAGTTATCATGTAGGCGTTCAAGACCGGAAACGGAAGTGGTTGGTCTATTGCGTTTATGTTGTAACTCTGCATTATGGGTAAGACGGGAAGCTTTGCACCATCTTGTTGAACATTGAATAAATTAGGAGCTGAAAAACACTTGAATATTTAGCCATTTGAATCCATACATGCACGTATTATTAACCCAAGAACAAAAACCAAGACCTCTTCGACTCCAGAGGATAGTTTGGTTTGGATTTCTAGGCTTCTGGAGACTCAAATGTGGCTATTTTGTTAGTGACATTTAGTGAATGTCTGAAGACTTTTTTCAAATTTGTTTTTCTTGATCCTGTTTGGACCTGAAAAGGAACTTTCGCTTAACATAAATAAAGTGACAGGAAACTCCTTGAAAGGTAAGCTGCAACGATGCGAAGAGTTCATTTTAAAGTACTAAAGCCAACGATCAAATAAGTTGAGATAGAGTTTGCTCTGCAATTTTTAAATCATGAGTGGAAGTATGCCTCTGGAAAGAGTAAGGACAGCACCTTATAAACCATTGAATCGTAAAGGTAAACCAAGAATTCTGCTTCTTGCTGCGGTCTTTCTATTGGATTGTAGTGCTCACTCGTTCCTTGTTTTGGATCGACAAAATTTAACTTGAATTTTTCATTTGTCCCAGGTTTAATTAACTTGTTCACGTCTTCACACCAAACTCTGTCTTTTGCCATTATTTTTTATAAATTCACTTTAATATTCTTTTGCACCTAGAATAATTGGATTTTATGTTTTGAGGATGTTGTTGTTTTTAAATCTTGTACGCCAGCTTTCGAATTATGTACTTCAATATTGAACGATCTTCCCAAAATATCCTTCAAAATATATCGACTCGATAATACTTCAATGAATTTTTAGCTCATTTACATTAGTGCATTTTATAGATAAAGATGTGTTGAAAGTCATTAACGTGCATTTGATCATATAGATTTAGGGAGTTAATAATGAGTTGCCCTATGCATAAATTATCAAGAGCTTTAGATTAGCGCTATCACAGTATGGTAAATAATTCAATGATTTAAGACAAAATAATTGTTTTTTATTAGAAAGGAGGGAAAATCTAATTTAGAGGGAAAATTAACCTAAAATAAACTTGAAATGTTATTAATGAAAATCCATTTCAATGTTATAGCATTAATGAGAAGCCATTTCAATGTTATAGCAATAATGAGAAGCCATTTAATGTTATGACTTATGAGAAGCCATTTCAATGTTATAGCATTAATGAGAAGCCATTTCAATGTTAAAGCATTAATGAGAAGCCATTGGATGTTATGATATAAGAAGCCATTTCAATGTTATAGCTTTAATGAGAAGCCATTTCAATGTTATGACATTAGAAGCCATTCCAATGCCATAGCATTAATGAAAAGCCATTCATCGTGATAATGAAAAATCCTTCAATGTTACAGAATAACGAGAAATTATTTAAACATTACAGTTATATATGAGAACCTATATAAATGTTATGGCATTTATGAAAAGTCATTTCAATGTATAGCATACTGTAGATGAGAAGCCATTTCAATGTACTGTACAGCATTAATGGAAAATACAGATATTACATACATTGTAATTGTATAAATAATACTTAATGCATTAGTCAGTAAAATAAATTCAGGACATTTTCACACCTAACATTTCTAAATCTTGAATGTTTCAAGTAAAGGGAAGCTATAACATGGCAACATCAATAGAGAAAGCTGAGGATGTTGAGCTTAAAGCTGTGACAGGCCAAGAACATGAAGAACCAAAAAAGAAAGGCCCAGGTCTCAAGTTGAAGACTCAAGATTTTAGGAAAGAGACAAAACAAAGTGCTGCAGATTATAAAAGAGCACACTCTTATCCTGAAGACAAGAGGTCAATCATAAAGAAATCAAAGCAAAAATCCCATGGAAGTCATCCTGAAATCATCCAAAGATTACAATCCCAGCAAGGTAATTTGAAAATGCTTGGATCCTTTTGAAAATGTAAAATGAACAACTGGTGACCAATAATCCTGGGGGGGGGGGGGGGGGG